TAAACCAGGGAGGTAGAGGCTGCAGTGAGCCATGATCACACCACTGCATTCCAGCCTGTGCAACAAAGTGGGACCCTGTCTCAAAAATTTAATAAATAAAAATAAACAAAATTTCTATATAACCCAGCAAATCCACTTCTAGGTATATATCTGTCCAATCCGTTCTGTCTTGCTGTAACAGAATACCTGAGATTAAATAATTTATAAAGGAAAGAGATTTATGTGGCTCACAATTCTGGTGGTTGGAAACTCCAAAAGCATGGCACTGGTGGTGAGGGCCATGTGCTGCACCACAACATGAAAAAGCAGAAAGGCAAGGGGGCAAAGAGGCACACAAAAGGTGGAACTTTGCTTATAACAACTCATTAGGGCAGCGTCCCATGATCCAAACACCTCCCACTAGGCCCCACATCCTAACACTGCCATATTGGGAATCAAATTTCAACATAAGTTTTAAAAGAAACACATTCAAACCATAGCAATACCAGTAGAAATTGCAAGCAAGGACTCAAACAGATACTTATATACCAATGTTTATAGCAACATTATTCACAATAGCCAAAAGGTGTCTACCTATGGATGAATGGATAAACAAAATGTATATGCACACAACGGAATATTTTGCAGCCATAAAAAGAATGAGAAGTTCTGATACATACTATAGCTAGATAAACCTTGAAAATATTATGCTAAGTGATTAAGTCAAGACACCAAAGGACAAATATTTTATGAGTCCACTTACATGAAATATCTAGAACAGGCAGCTTCATAGACACAGGAGGTAATTTAAAGTTTACCAGCAGTTGGGGCAAGGGGCCATGTGGAGTTACTGCATAACATGTAGAGTTTCTATTAGGGGTGAAATAAATAATGGTGATGATGGCACAACATTGTTTATATGCTTAATGCCAGTGAATTATACACCTAAAGTTGTTAAAATGGTAAACATTATGTTATATATATATTTATTATATGATTTGCTTTCTGACAAGTTATAATTGTATAAAATTAAGGAGGCACACAGTGATGTTTTGATATACAGGTATGTATAAAGTGTGGAATGACTGAAATTAAGCAAATTAACATATCTATCACATTAAATACTTATTTACATCACCTAACTACAACTTTCTACTCTTTGACCAATATGTTCCCATCCCTCCCTTCCATCCCCCATGCTCTGGCAACTACCATTCTACTCTCTGCTTCTAAGACTTCCACTGTTTTAGATTCCACATTAAGTGAGAAAATGCAGTTTTCATCTTCCTGTGCCTGGCTTATTTCACTTTGTTAAGTACATTTTAACACTTTTTTTTTTTTTTTTTTTTTTTGAGACGGAGTTTCGCTCTTATTACCCAGGCTGGAGTGCAATGGCGCGATCTCGGCTCACCGCAACCTCCGCCTCCTGGGTTCAGGCAATTCTCCTGCCTCAGCCTCCTGACTAGCTGGGATTACAGGCACGTGCCACCATGCCCAGCTGATTTTTTGTATTTTTAGTAGAGACGGGGTTTCACCGTGTTGATCAGGATGGTCTCAATCTCTTGACCTCGTGATCCACCCGCCTCGGCCTCCCAAAGAGCTGGGATTACAGGCGTGAGCCACCGTGCCCGGCCATTTTAACACTTTTTTTAAACTTAAGGGAATTTTTTAAATATTAAAAAAAAAAGCAACTGTTAGCGTGGTGCGGTGGTTAAAGCCTGTAATCCCAGCACTTTGGGAGGCCGAGGCGGGCGGATCACGAGGTTAAGAGATCGAGACCATACTGGCCAACACGGTGAAACCCCGTCTCTACTAAAAATACAAAAAATCAGCTGGGCATGGTGGCACGTGCCTGTAGTCCCAGCTACTCAAGAGGCTGAGGCAGAAGAATTGCCTGAGCCCAGGAGATGGAGGTTGTGGTGAGCCAAGATCCCGCCACTGCACTCCAGCCTGTTGAAAAAGCGAGACTCTGCCGGGCGCAGTGGCTCAAGCCTGTAATCCCAGCACTTTGGGAGGCCGAGGCGGGTGGATCACGAAGTCAAAAGATCGAGACCATCCTGGTCAACATGGTGAAACCCTGTCTCTACTAAAAATACAAAACATTAGCTGGGCATGGTGGCGTGTGCCTGTAATCCCAGCTACTCGGGATGCTGAGGCAGGAGAATTGCCTGAACCCAGGAGGTGGAGGTTGCAGTGAGCCAAGATCGCACCATTGGACTCCAGCCCAGGTAACAAGAGTGAAACTTCGTCTCAAAAAAAAAAAAAGAAAAGAAAAGAAAAAGAAAAAGCGAGACTCTGTCTCAAAAAAAAAAAAAAAAAAGCAATTGTTAAAAAAAATACAGGTGCCAACCTTGAAGACCATGTTGTGGGTTAAACTGTGGTCCCAAAGAGATATGTCTACCCAGACCCTCAGAATATGACTTTATTTAGAATAAAGTTCTTTGCTGGTATAGTTACTATAAGGGTCTTGGGATGAAATCACCTTGAATTAGAATGAGCCCTAAATCTAATGAACAGTGTTCTTAGAGGAGATAAAAATGAAGACGAGAGACACAGAGAGAAGAAGGCAATGTGAAGACAGAGGCAAAGACTGGAGTAATCTACCACAAATCAAGGAACATGTGGAATCACCAGAAGGCTCAAAGACACAAGGAAGGATTCTTCCCCAAAGCCTTCGGAGAAAGCATGGCCTTGACAAATGCTGATTTCAAATTTTTAGCCTCCAGAACCGTGAGATGATAAATTTCTAAAATTTTAAACCACCAAGTTTGTGATAATTTCTTATGGCAAACCTAGGAAACTAATACAGATTTTAGTACATAGAAGTAGGGTGTTGCTTTAATTTTAATATCTTAAAATGTGAAGGTGGGCCAGGCCTGGTGGCTTATGTCTGTAGTTCCAACACTTTGGGAGGCCGAGGTGTAAGGATTGCTTGAGTTCATGAGTTCAGGTTCAGCCTGTTCAACATGGTGAAATACCATCTCTATTAAAAATTTTTAAAAAAGAAAAAGAAAGGGAGAGAAAGAGAGAAAGAAAGGGAAAGGAAAGGAAGACAGGAAGGAAGAAAGAAAAGAAAAAAGAAAAGATAAAAATGTAAAAGTGAGGCCAGGCGCGGTGGCTCACGCCTATAATCCCAGCACTTTGGGAGGCCGAGGCGGGTGGATCACGAGGTCAAGAGATCGAGACCATCCTGGTCAACATGGTGAAACCCCGTCTCTACTAAAACTACAAAAAATTAGCTGGGCATGGTGGCATGTGCCTGTAATCCCAGCTACTCAGGAGGCTGAGGCAGGAGAATTGCCTGAACCCGGGAGGCGGAGGTTGCGGTGAGCCGAGATCGCGCCATTGCACTCCAGCCTGGGTAACAAGAGCAAAACTCTGTCTCAAAAAAAAAAAAAAAAAAATGTAAAAGTGACTTTCAAATTGGGTAACAGGCTGAAAGAGTTTTGAGATGCATGATTTTAAAAAAGTATAGACTGCCTTTAAAACGTGGTAGAATTATCAATATCAAAGGCAATTCTGGTTAGAGTTTAGAAGGTTGTGATGAACAACTAAGAGAAAGCTTCTGTAGTCTTAGAGAATACAGGCTGAGTGCAGTGGCTCACGCCTGTAATCCCAGAACTCTGGGTGGCTGAGGCGGGCAGATCACGAGGTCAAGAGATCAAGACCATCCTGGCAAACGTAGTGAAACCCAGTCTCTACTAAAAATACAAAACTTAGCTGTGCATGGTAGCACACACCTGTAGTCCCAGCTACTTCGGAGGCTAAGGCAGGATTATCACTTGAACCCGGGAGATGGAGGTTGCAGTGAGCCAAGATCATGCCACTGCACTCCAGCATGGAGACAGAGCAAGACTCCCTCTCAAAAAAGAAAAGTTAAAAAATATTAAAAAGATAATACATACACAGAATCATGAACATCTGATTCATATCAATATTTTGGTTAAGGATGCTTCTGTTGCTGTCTCAGAAGTAAATACAGAATATGTGACTGGGAACTGGAAGATAGGTGATCCATATTATAAAGTGGCTGAACTATGTTCTACTGTTGGATAGAAAGGAGAATCTGGAAGCCATGAACTTGAGTATTTAGCCTAGGAGATTTCCAAGCAAAGTGTTGAAGGTACAGCTTGGTTCCTCCTTGGTAGTTATAGTAAAATACAAGAGGAAAGAGATAAATTCAAGAAGAAACTTTAAGCAAAAGGAAACAATAATTAATTGAGAGGTTCTCAGATTGTTGAGATTACAAAGGACACAGAAAATTAGGAAATTCACTATTAGAAAAGTGTGTTCTAGAGACCAGACCACATGGCTGGATAACAATATGCTGAAGTTATTTATTAGCAGTGTGACTCATGAATGCAATCAACCATCTTGACAGAAACCAAGAATGGAGATGGGGTTATCAGTAAGGAGCTCTGAAGAACCCTCTTGTCTAATGATATGGATCCTCTTGATATATAAGGAGACTGACAATGTTTTAAAGAATATCATACCAACAAAAATGCTGTAAGCCTGTACTGAGAACAGAGATAGGACAAAAATTTTTAAAGTATCTAACTTCTGAGATTTTATAGGCAAGAAATAGGCTAATACAGCTACTCAACTACAAACATGTGCACCCCTTCAGGGAAAAGTAAAAATGACTGAAGGCAAGCAAGCAGCATGGTGGGTGGGGGGACAAGAAACAGGCCCACACCAACTGCAGACAGAGCCTCCACGGGCCCAGAGGGCAGAGGACCAAGCCACAGAGGATTATTGTCAGGCCTTGAAACCTAGAGAAATTTGTCCTGCTGGGTTTTAACTTGCTTGGAATCAGAGATTCTTTATTTTTCCCATTTTCTTCCTTTTGGATGGGAATGCCTATCTTAAAAGTGTCTGATCTTCTCATCATTGTATTTTGGAAGGTTGTTTTCTAGTTTCACAGGTCTACAGATGGAGAATTTTGTCCCAAATGAATCATGCCAAGTCCATACTCTTACCTAATTTAGATGATTTAGACAATGAGATGTGAAACTTCTTGAGGTTATAATATTTGGAGAGTTTGGACTTAGAATTCATGCTGTAATAGGTCAAGACTTTTGAGAATGTTGGGATGAGGTGAATTTATTTTGATTTATTTATTTATTTTTTTTGAGATGGAGTTCACTCTTGTTACCCAGACTGGAGTGCAATGGCACCATCTCGGCTCACTGCAACCTCCGCCTCCCGGGTTCAGGCAATTCTCCTGCCTCAGCCTCCTGAGTAGCTAGGATTACAGGCATGCGCCACCATGCCCAGCTGATTTTTTGTATTTTTAATAGAGACGGGGTTTCACCATGTTGATCAGGATGGTCTCGATCTCTTGACCTCGTGATCCACCCGCCTCAGCCTCCCAAAGTGCTGGGATTACAGGCGTGAGCCACCGCGCCCGGCGAGGTGAATTTATTTTGCATATGGGATGTAAATAAAGTTTTAGGGGTCAAAAAATGAACCGTAGTTGGTTAGACTGTGGCCCCCAAAAGTTATGTCCACCCAGAACCACAGTATGTGAGCAGACTAGGTCTTTGTAGAGCTAATTAAGGTAAGGATCTTGAGATGAGAACACCCAGGAATAAGACAGACCCTACGAGACAGAAAAGAAGATGCAGAAAGAGGGCCATGAGAAGATGAAGGCAAAGACAGGAATTTTCCTGCCACAAGTCAAGGAATACCTATCAAGTCACCAGAAGATGGAAGAAACAAGCAAAGATTCTTCCCTAGAGCCTGGATTTTGGACTTCTAGCCTCCAGAACTGTGAGACATTTTAAGCTACCAAGTATGTAGTAATTTTTCTGGCAGCCTTAGGAAAACAATAGAGTACACCAATCATAAAAAATACAACAAATTGTACACCAAAAGTAATGACTATGATAAATTACAGTGTATCACATATATTAAAGTCATCAGTTCATAATGATGTTCCCTCCCAAACCTCACCTTTGGGAGTTGTGAGAGCGAGCATCAATACATTTTTCTGAAAATTATTGATAAAGGGTTTGAAAAAATAAGCATTTTCCCTACTTTTTCTGTACAAATGATATTATGAGGTAAATGAATAACTGATGAGGGAATTCTCTATGAAAGAATTCCAGTTAATAAATACAAAAGAAATGACCCAAAAAATCACCCTTCTAATGAAATAATGGATATAGGCAACAATTATCATTGGCTGATAAATCCATTAATTGATAAGTTATGTCTGGATCCCACTGACAGAACCTAAACCAAATGATTCATTTAGTATCACTAAAAGTGGAACCACCACTTAGGTTACCTCCTAGAATGATCCAGTAAGAATTCACAGCCTCATCTAATGCGGTGACTATACATCCTAATTTGTCCAGGACAATTCCAGTTTAAACTATTCCTGCTGTGTAATCATTAATAGCACCCCCTTTCATTCTCAAAATTATCTGACTGCAAATAAATTATATAATCATGCCTTATAAATATTTCTTGCCAAAGAAACTGAACCTAAACTCATCAAGCTCTACCAACTCAGGCTCTCAATCTTGGCTACAGACTGAAATCACTTGGTAAATTTTTTTTAAATATTGATGATGACATTTTACTTCATGGGCTCTAATTAACTGATCTGAGATGTGGCCTGGGGATCCGGATAACTAAAAGCTCTCCAGATAATTCTAAAGTTTCAGCCAAACTTCAGAACCACTGCTCTGTATTTAACTACTAATTTTTGGGAAACATGAGAGGTAAAAGAACATGTTAAATACTGTAACAAGGATTCAATCAGCCAAACCCAAAATGCAGAAAATTCTCCTTGAACAATAACCAAGTTTTTTCAACAAGTAAATAGCATGGGAAAGGAGCACAGGCTGTATGGGCTAAGAAAGGGGATCACTGGACCGGTGCAATGGCTCATGTCTGTAATCCCAGCACTTTCAGAGGCCAAAGCAGGTGAATTACTTGAAGTCAGGAGTTTGAGACCAGCCTGGCCAACATGGTGAAACCCCATCTCCACTAAAAATACGAAATTAGCCAAGCCTGGTAATACATGCCTATAATCCCAGCTACTTGGGAGGCTGAAGCAAGAGAATCGCTTGAACCCAGCAGACAGAGGTTGCAGTGAGCCAAGATCACACCACTGCACTCCAGCCTGGGCAACAGGAGCAAAACTCTATCTCAAAAAAAAAAAAAAAAAAGAAAGGGGATGATTAAGGTTAAGAAAAACTTAAGAAACATATAAACCAAATGAAATGTGTAACTCTTAGTTGGATGATTTAAACAAATCAAGTGTAAAAAGATACTAAAAGAAGTCTGAACACAGACTCGATTAAGGAACTCTTTTGTTAGGTTTATCAGCATTGTGGTTGTGCTTGTTAAAGATTCTTACCTGTTAGAAATACACATAGAAGTATTTATAGATTAAATGATGTGATACCTGTTATTTATTTCAAATTTATTTCAACAAAAGAAAGGAAAAGAGGGCCGGGCGCGGTGGCTCAAGCCTGTAATCCCAGCACTTTGGGAGGCCGAGGCGGGTGGATCACGAGGTCAAGAGATCGAGACCATGCTGGTCAACATGGTGAAACCCCGTCTCTACTAAAAATACAAAAAATCAGCTGGGCATGGTGGCGCATGCCTGTAACCCCAGCTACTCAGGAGGCTGAGGCAGGAGAATTGCCTGAACCCAGGAGGCGGAGGTTGCGGTGAGCCGAGATCGCGCCATTGCACTCCAGCCTGGGCAACAAGAGTGAAACTCCATCTCAAAAAAAAAAAAGAAAGGAAAAGAAAGGAGGAAGAAAGGGAAGAAGGGAGGGAGGGACAGAAGTGAGTAGTTAGATGAGACAGAAATGGTAAATTAATTTTTTGCTTATAAATGTATAATATGCATGTATTAAAATACATTTGTAAGACATATCGGGAAGTGTAAAGAAAGATAAACACATATGATTCTTGACCTCAAACAACTTATATTGGTGGGTAAACAATATGCTGGATAGACCAAAAAAAAAAAAAAAAAAGTCCTATCTTTGGTCACAGGCAGCTGGCTAAAGCTTCTAGGAGGCCAGAAAGACTACATGAATGAAATTAAAATAACAATGTAAATACTTCTTAAGTATAAAAAAGTGAGTATAGGTATGAGAAGGTTGGATAAGAACTATTACTATCCCAAAATTGCTAAATCCCAGAGATTATACAATAAACTGACTGTGAAGAACCCATGCCCTTACTAATGGATTGAGTGAGCCACATAAAAATGTCATTGTTTTAAAGTCAAATGGTCAAGTATTAGCATTTTGTTGAGTTGAATAAAGTACATTTATACAATACCTGCCTTTCTCCTTCACTAAAGTAAATACATGCAGTTAGTTCATAGTAAAATAATCAGAATTTTTAAAGGAAATATCAATCTTCTTTAAATAGTGGTTGTTCTCCTAATACACAATTCAAAAATACCTCTTAAGTATCCACAGAAATTGCATTTTTTATTTATCTACTCATAATTCTTTAGTAAGAAAATCTTTCTGGCCAGGCACAGTGGCTCATGCCTATAATCCCAGCACTCTGGGAGGCCGAGGCAGGCAGATCATGAGGTCAGGAGTTCGAGACCAGTCTGGTCAACATGCTAATACGCTGTCTCTACTAAAAATACAAAAATTAGCCGGGCATAGTGGCACATGCCTGTAATCCTAGCTACTCGGGAGGCTGAGGCAGGAGAATTCCTTGAACCTGGGAGGTGGAGGTTGCAGTGAACAGAGATCGCGCCACTGCACTCCAGCCTAGGCAACAGAGCAAGACTCTGTCTCCAAAAAAAGAGTACAAACACAATATTTAAAATAAATCACAGCTTCAAAATATTTAATGTATATTTTCTACAAAATAAATGTGAACGCCTATAATCCCAGCACTTTGGGAGGCCGAGGCAAGTGCATCACCTGATAGCGAGAGTTCAAGACCAACCTGACCAACACGGAGAAACCGTCTCTACTAAAAATACAAAATTAGCTGGGCGTGGTGACGCATGCCTGTAAATCCCAGCTACTTGGGAGACTGAGGCAGGAGAATCACTTGAACCATGATGGGGAGGTTGTGGTGCACTGAGATTGAGCCAGCCTGGGCAACAAGAGTGAAACTCTATCTCAAAAAAATAAATAAATAATAAATGTGAGCTGCGAATAAGTATTTTAAGATGATCTCAACACAAATGCATTTCCTAGGGAACAAGTTAACTTAATGATTCCTGAGAAATAATTTACATCAACTTTATTTGAATGTAATTCCAATTATTCTGACATCCATACATTCCAGATAAAGAATTCTGTCTTTTTTTTTTTTTTTTTTTTACAAATGAGAATATCAACACTAACCACAATATTTCTGGATAAACAAAAGTTCTAACTTATATGATCAAACAGAACCAGTTCAAGTGATACTTGATGCTGGTTTAGCCCACAGTCTCTCCAGCAAATATCTCTGTGTCTTAGTGTCCTCATTTATAAAATGGGACAATAATTGTGGTTGAAAAATGTAACACATATAAAATACTTTAAAAAATGACTGACACAAAAAAAATAAATAAATAGACAAAAAATGACTGACACTTAAGAGTTTATAAATACCAAGTATTATCATTACTTACAGATGCCTCTGCTTATTACAAGATGGGAAGAAAACAACTCAGAATCATTCTCAATATTAGAATGGCCTCTTCTTTATTTTTTTTTATTTATTTATTTTTAAGACATGGTCTCTCTTGCTCTGTCACCCAGGCTGGAGTGCAGTGGCACAATCATAGTTCAATGCAACCTCAAACTCCTAGGCTCAAGCAGTCCTCCCACCTCAGCCTCATGAGTAGCAAAGACTACAAGCAAACGCTACTGCACCTGAGGTAATTTAATTTATTGTAGAGATGGGGTCTTGCTATTTTGCCCACGGTGGTCTCAAACTCTTGGCCTCATGCCATCCTCCAGCCTCGGCCTCCCAAAGTGCTAGGATTACAGGAATGAGCCACTGTACCCAGCCACAACTATTATTATTTACAGATGCCTCTGTGTGTCACAAGATGAGAAGCAGTGTGAAAACAACACAGAATCACTGTCAGTGGCCCCTTCAAATGGTCTCTAAACAAATACATTCTTAAATTGCATACATACAAACTGTAAATATTTTAATGACATGAACTGCCATGTTTTTAAGTAATACATTTAGCAAAAAGACAGAAGAGAGAAAAAGCCCATTAAGGAATTAAGAGGGATCCATCTTTTGAAATTATTTTATTATAAAATATTAAAATAACAGAAATTCAAAACAAAATTTCTCCATAATCCAACACATCATTAAGTCAACGCTTTCATTTGTTCGTATTTTCTACTGTCTATAGGCATGTTCAATTTTCACATTTATGTTATATTAATAGATAACATTTTATAATCCACATTTTCACTAAGCATTATACCATGAATACTTTTTCTACTTTATGAAATTTTAACCATTATATCTCTTTCCTTTCTCCTTCCTACCCCCTGAAGGTAAACATCCTGACCTGTGTCCTCCACAATTTTCTCTAAGTTCATATATATACAAGCATATACACACACATATGCGGGGAGGCAAGAAAGGTCGTTTTGTTTTTCACAAAAATGGAAGCATACTACTTATACATATGCTTTCTCTCTTTTTTAAGCATACCAGATACAGGCACCTCAAATTTCACATACAGAGAGTTTTAAGTATGAAAATGAATACAACTTACTAGACGGGGTAATATTTACATTTACAAAAGTTATTATTTTGTATGTAAATTCTGAAAAG